TATGGTATTCGTAGTGCAAAAACAGAATCTGAGTGTATAATTTTGTATATGTGTGTGTGTAAGTGTGTGTTTGTGTGTGTGTCTATATTTCTACAACACAAACACAAATGAACAAACAAAATTTAATGTGTTGATTATTTTTGTTCAAGTTGTTGTTTATGTTGTTGTTTGGGCTGTAGGTGTGTTTGTTTGTATATGTCGCTGTTGTTGTTCTTTACATTGTTGTTGTTGGCTTGCGTTGTTGTTTTCCATGATTATGTTGTTGTTCGCGTTGTTGTTGTTGTTGTTGTTGTTTGTTCATGTTGTTATTTGTGTCGTGCGAGTTGTGTTAGTCATGTGTCATTCTCGTCTCGGCTGCTGATGGTTCTTTTATAAACTCAACAATGGGATGTGGCGTGAGGTGTGAGAGAGAGAGTGAAGAAGAAGAGAGAGAGAGAAGGAGAGAAAAAGAGAGAGAAAGACATAGAAAAACAGACAATAAAATACAGATGAGAGGGAGAGAGAGAGGAAGAGAGAGAAAGAACGTGAGTTGAAAATAGAGAAAAAAGTTATAGGGAGAAATAATTTGGAAAAAAAAGAACAAGAGAGTGAAAAAAGGAAGAAAATAGAAGAGATAGCACGAAGTAGAAAGATGAAAACATACAAAAAAGATATAAACTGGTGAAAAATAACACAAAAAAACCTATTTTTTCCTTAAATATTATTATTTTTATCACTATTTAAAAATTTTAGCCCACTTAAAACGAATTAATAAAACATAGAGGTCAAAATGACGAGAGGAAAATGAATTTATATCAAAAAGGAAATGAATAAAATTAGTTATCGGCTTTTTTTAAACTTTTTCAGAGAATTTTCATTTTAAAAAAAAACTGGTAAAAAGAATAATCACACGCAGTGACTCAAATGACTGGACGACATCAATAACAACAAGATGACATTAACAACGAAATGGCATTAACAAAATGACAACAAAAAATGCGTTAACATCATCAAAACACCAACCACTAACTGCCGAAAAAGCAATAAACATTGACAAAAACATTAACAACTACAAATAAACATTCGGAATTCAACAACAACAACAAATTTTTCCACATAACAGCTACAACAACAGTAGCAACAACAAAATTTTTCAGGAAAATGTATCTACTTCGCGGACAATACAACACCTTAATTAAATTTGAGAACATTCCAAAAACATTATGATTGACTAATTCTATTAAGCAATACGTCATCAAAAACGTCATCAACGTCACTAGAGTCATCAACAACAACAGCAAAATTAGCAGCAACAATAATAACAACAACATCAACAACAATATCACAACAGTACTTCAATTGAAAACACAACATTACCCTGAAAAAAAAACAACAATCACAACAACAAAAACAACATTAAAACTTTATCATTATTATCATCACCTTTAACCACATCATCATCATCATCAACTCAATCAACAAAAACATCATCATTATCACAGAAGATAACATCAGCAGCAGCAGCAACAACAACAACAAAGTATAAAAATAGAAACAAATTTGTAAGCATTTTGGTGAAATTTATCTGACATTAAAATCTTTCATAGGAAGACGGATACTCTAATTACATCAACCTTATTGATGTCAGCAATGGATGACGTCATCTATTTCATGGCTCCCTTTCCTGTTACCCTTTTGTTGTTATTTCTTCAACAACAACAATAAGAACAGCAGCTGCAGCATCTACAACAACAGCAACGACAATATCAACATTAATAATCATATTAATAACAACAAAATCTAAATGAATTCAAAAATAATTCCGATTGCAAAATTTTTTTTAGCCTCGTAAGAAGATTTTTGTGGAATATAAAGAAGCCAAACAGTGGCTGACATGAAAATGTCCACAACAGATGTCGCCATGAGCAAGTTTCATGATTGACTGATTGGTTGATTGGTCAGTCGGTTGGTTGGTTTGTTGGTTGATTAACTGGATGGTTGATTGGATGGTTGATTGGTTGGCTGGTTGGTTGGTTGATTGGTTGGTTGGTTGGTTGGTTTGTTGGTAGGTTGGTTGGTTAGTTGGTTTGTTGGTTGATTGATTGGATGGATGATTTGATGGTTGATTGATTGGTTGGTTGAGTGGTTGGTTGGTTGGATGGTTGATTGGTTGGCTGGCTGGCTGGTCAGCTGTTCGATTGTTGGTTGAGCTGATAACAATAACAAACCATTGGTGGTTTTTTAATTGTCATCAGACGCGATTTAGTCATTAATTATTCATTGCTAATGGTGATGATGTCAATAATGACAGAGTATATGATAATGATAAAGATGGAGATGAACGAAAAGATGATGGCGACGAGGACTGTCTTCATAATGATGAGAAAACTGATGGGATTGTGAGGGAGAATAAGAATTTGACGAACTCCTAACAGGCTAGTTAAACAACTCGCAAACAAACACTCACATGTATAGATGCATACATACATACATACATACATACATACATACATACATACATGTATCTAAATCACTATTTTTGGTGTTGAATGTTGCGGTTGTGTCTAAATTTTCTCCGTTTTTTTGAATAAATATTGTGTATTTTTTACTGATATACAGTTGAATTTGGATTATTATAATAGAGTAAATTGAGGAGAGTATCTTCGTTTTTTTATTTTTTCGAAATAATATAATTTAGTATTTTTAATTGAATTTAATAATAATATTTAGTTTAATAGTTGATAATGACGAACGAAAATTGTTGTAAATGTGATAATGTTGTTGAGGATGGAATTTGCTGCCCATGCTGCCAAAGTTTCGTACATCCGAAATGTGCTGGTTTCACCAAGGACTCGCTGTCATTATATAAAAAAATGAAAAACTTAAGGTGGTATTGTGACAACTGCCTGGGCTATGTCGATGATGTTAAAGGGATTTCCAAGTTGATAAATGATAAACATGTGGCATTAGATATGGAATTGAAGAAGATTTCTGAATCTGGGGACATTTTAAAGAATGACATAGAGCAGTTGAGGATCGCAGTCGATAATAGTAAAGGAAAATTGGATCAGGTTGCTAGTGTTGATTCATTGAAAAGTGAAATTAATGCTAAGTGGTCTGAGGTTGTTAAAAAAAATTGTGATGCTGTATGTAGTGAAGTTAGATCGATACAAAAAACACTTAATGTTGTAAATGAAAATAAAGAACGTGAAAACAATATCATCATTTTTAATCTTGCTGAAAGTGAAAATAGTGTGAAAGATAAAGAAATTGTGATGAAAATCTTTCAATCGCTGACTGAGGAGTCAATTAAAAGCAGCGACGTTGTTAAAATTTTTAGACAGGGCAAAAAAGAGGAGCAAATTACCTCTCCACGCCCGATAATTGTTAAATTTAACAACACGTCATCAAAGGTACTTGTGATGAATAAACTGTTTAAAATTAAATTGCTTGACGATAAATTGAAAAGTATTAGAATAAGTCATGATATGACCCGTGAACAACGAACTGATTATCGTAAACTGGTTGATGAGGCTAAAAGTAAAGAGGCTGATGATGGGGAAGATTTTTTATACCGCGTCAGGGGTCCGGTGGGTCGCTGGAAGATTGTGAGGTTTCTCAAAAAAGGAAAATAAAAACTCTGTGTTTTGGTTTGCTTAACATAAGATCAATGTCAAAGTTTAATTTTGTTTATGAACTATTGGATGATAGTTTGGACATTTTTGTATTAAATGAAACTTGGCATGGTTCATCTAATAATGTTTGTCTTAAACTTGCTATGCCACCTGGTTTTACATACGTTGATTTTTTGCGACCTTCAGATCCCCTGCATGGTGGAGTTATTGTATATTTCAGAGATTATTTTAGGTTTAAAAGAATTGATCTGCCACAATTGAAGACATTTGAAGCAGTAGCTATTAAGTTTTTCATCAATCATACTGTAATTATTTTGTTGGCATTATACAGACCAGGATCATCTGCTGTATCAGCATTGTTTTTTCATGAATTGATCTGTGTTCTGGATGAAATATCAATCCTTGCGGATTATTTGCTGCTTTCTGGTGATTTTAATATTCACATGGAAAATTTGAATAGTTCTACAACTGTTAGATTATTGGAAGTATTTAACTCATATCAGGTTACAAATAGAATAAATCAGCCAACTCATAATTTGGGTGGTACGTTAGACTTGGTAGTTTCTTCCGACGATTTTCCTGCTATTGAATGTATTGTTAATCCATGGGATATATACTCAGATCACAGTTTCATCAAATCGGTTTTTCCAGTGATATTGAAGCAGCCTGTTTTTCGCCTAAAATGGGTTCGTTCTTGGGGTCGGATGGATGAAAAATTATTTTCATTATTAGTTTTGGGTTCTCATATCAGTGGTCCATTTGATTACAATGATGCGGGCTTGATGCTGGTGATGTTTACTGAGGAAATGAAATCTATCATAGATAAGGTAGCTCCACTGCATTTGGTGAAATCGAGACATGTCCCATCAGCGCCATGGTTTGATGATGAATGTAAAAAATTAAAAAGACTTTGCCGTAAATTGGAGAGACAGTATAAAGTTAACAAAACATTATCTAATAGAGATGCTTGGAAAACTGCTCTTATTAATAAAAGTGTTCTATTTAATGTTAATAAAAATAACTACTGGAAAAAGTTGGTGGAAAATAATAAAGGTCAACCAAAAAAATTATGGACTACTGTAAACAAATTACTTTGTAGAGCAACCTCACTAGATTCATCAAAGTCATCATCCTGTCAGCATTGTTCTACTGATTTTGCAGAATATTTCAAAAATAAGATTGGAAAAGTTATAAAAGATACGGATGCATTTTATATGCCATTGCAGTCTTTTCACAAACTTTATGATGGACAATTGTTCAACAATTTCTCGCTTTGTTCAAGTGATGATATCAAAAAGATCGTTTTGGAATCACCAACA